TATTATATTATATTATATTATATTATATTATATTATATTATATTATATTATATTATATTATATTATATTATATTATATTATATTATTATATTATTAATATAATTTCATTCTTTCATAATTGAACTTCAACGCTGTCCATCTCACCATGGTGACTCTAGGCAGCTTACAGTCATATAACTTGTGTGTCCAATCACACTTGCCCAATAAAGAATTCTGTTCTGTTCTGTTCTATTCTATTCATTAAAATACAATATAAAATGTATTTAAACTATGTGATAAAATAATAAGTAAAAACTTTACCTTTAAAATTCAATTAAAATTAAATTAATCAAGATGGGAGGAAGGGACCAAGTGTGCATGGGGAAGAGGTGGGGTCTGCCTAATCCATTAACCGCCTCCAAGATGCCATGTCCCTGTTGGGAGTGCATTTAGAATAATCCAAGACAGACATTAAATAGGGATTTTGTGGAAATGCTTTATTTTTTTTTCCAGTCATGAAAGATTGGATGAATGTTCTTTTAGTACGCAGAAGTTTCTTAAAAATATTCAAGAATCCAGTGATATTGTGATATTTGGAAACACAGGCAGGGCTGAATGTATCGTACAATGAACAACAGAGGCAATTAGGTATTTTTAATCTAACAAAGATAAGGTCTAAGGATGATATGATAGCAGTCTTCTAGTATTAGAGGGTCTGTCACAGAGAAGAGGGGATTCAGCTATTATTATCCGAAGCACCTGAGGGCAGGATAAGAAATAACAAGTGGAAGATCTTTAAAGAGAGATCCAACTAGGACTAAGGAGAAATTCCTGACAATGAAAACGATTAATCAGTGGAACGACATATTTGGAAGTTGTTGGTTCTCCATCACTGGAGCTTTTCAAGAAGAGGCTGGACAGCCATTTGTCAATAATAGTATAGGATCTCCTGCTCCTCCAAAGTCCCTTTCAACCCTATTATACTAGTTTCTACTTGGCTCACCAGGACCAATAGCATAGTCCTTCAGCAGTTTTGCGGAGATTAAAATTCCATGAAAGCTGTCAAACAATTGCAGAAAAAGTGCCTCCATTGAAAGTACCTTAATCATAAAAACAAAAGGAAAGTATAACAATTTTCCTATATAGTAGTTGGCTTAGAAACAGCTTCTTAATATTTTCTTCATCTGTCCTCTCTATTCTTCTGATCCCAGAGCACAATTTCCACTAACCTCTCTTAAGCATACAGAAAATACTTTAGTAAAGGAGACGCCACAGACGCCATAATATTTTGATTTCCATTCTAATATACATACTGTTCGATGGATATTGACTCACTCCAGCCCATAGGTAGCCCATTAGCAGCATGGTCCATAGTTTGCCGATTGAGAAATGAGTATAACAAAATGTAATATGCTTTTAGTTGATTAAATAAGCTTGATAAACTGAAAACCACCTGTTTCTCAAGCGTCTGTAGAATGTCACCTATCAGACCCAGACTTCTATTGCTAGTGCATTTGTGTGTAGTAATAAATTTGTATTTGTAATACTTTGCATGTCCAAATCAATATATCAGTTTTGAACTACAATGTTTTCCTTGAAATAGAAAATTGTCTAATCCAAGCTGAGGGGTTTTTTTTGGCCTTAAAAAGAAATGTTAGGATTATTTTTAAAGTGTGCATTCCAGCAACATTTTCTAAACAGCTCTACAAAAAATTAGCATCTGCTTTAAAATACTGGCATGCATTGTCCTGCTATTATGCAATACAGCTGTCTCTCCTCTTTTACTGTCATAATTTAAAAAAAAACAGCAGCAATTTTAAGAATTTCATCTCTGGCATTTTGAAATATAACCACACTCCACTTAAATAATAAACTTCTTCTGTAATTATATATTTAGTGAAAGGGATCTTTGCCCAAAGTTGGGTATAGAATATATTCAGATTGGTTCATTTCTTTTGGCTCTCTGAGAGTTTCCCCAAAAGCACCCCAGGTCATACTGGGAAGCATCGTTAAAACTTCAAAATGGCTTTCAAGATCATTTGGGAAATCAGCTGCACTAAATCCAACCTGTCATTTAGAACTATTGTAACAAAGGTTCATGCTTTTAACAGGACGGTGGTAGTATGAATGAAAAACAATATCATAGAAAGTCTAGGGAGATGACCAAGATGATTAGATGTCGTTTTCAGAAGAGGGAATGATTTAGATTTCTTACTAGTTAAATTTAAGTACCTTAGTGCGCAAGTGATCTGAAACAGTGGATATGCTTCCTGGCAGACATATGCTACTAATATTGTCGCCATTTACATTTTATGTATATATTTGCATATAAACCACTTAGCTTACTTAACGTGCATGCTAGTAAGATAATGCTTAAAATTCTGTAATCTAGAGTTCAACAGTACATGGAACTAAAATTGCCAAATATAAAATTGGAATTCAGAAAACGCTGGGTACCTGTAGACATTGCTAGTATTCAATGGATAATTGAAAGAGCTTTTAAAAATATACCTATTTCTTCTTTACATATTATAAACAGTGGTGACTGGATATTCCACATCAAACATGAATAACGTGTAAAAACCAGGATATAGCAAATCACAGGAAAAGGGTGTATAGTTATAATGGAATTTATAATGAAATTTGACCACAACTTAAATGGTTCATAACCGGGAAAGGGATACATCAAGGTTATAAATTGTCATCTGATTCATTTATATGCAGAATATATGATAAATGTGGAAATAGAAGAAACAGAAATTGGAATTAAAATTGTTTGAAGAAACATAAATAAACTTAGATACGTTGATAACATATGTAGAGGTTGAAAGCAAGAAAGACTTAAGGAATCTCTTGTTGAACATAAAATAATAGAATGCAAAAACTGTATTTATGTTATTGAACATTGACAAGGATCCTTCATGATATTCTGAATTAAATTAAGTAGTTTCACAATTAGAATAAAGAACTTGATGATGTAAACCATTTAGAGAGGAGTGCAAAGCACCGTGAAGCGGTATATAAGTCTAAGTACTATTGCTATTAATTGTACCAATTTTCATTATAAGGGGAAGGAAGAGAAACAATTTGGAAATGCCTTTCCATGCTGTTTTTGTTTACAAATTGTTTTGTGGAAACATTTAAACATTAAACATTTAAACCTCCAATTATCTCACTAATTGAAGAATAATTTTAGCTCATTAAAATGTTTTTATTGAGAACTCTAACTAGTCAGCCAAATCAATACTGTAGTTTTAAATACACATGCATGTATTCATCTGACCTTTTCATTTATTGTTCACAGTTACCAACCACTTGTCTCCACCTGTGGCATTTTAATTATGTAGACTGATATAGAAAAGAATACTGCAGTTAAATGCAGGGATTGCTGACAGAGGACTAAAGGAAAAGCAGAACACAGGCTTGTACATGAGCCAACAATTCAGGATTTATTCTTCTTATACTACCCATAGAAAATAGGATGCCTTCTACTTGATGATGTAGTATGTTAAAAAAATAGATATGGCTAGAAATGTTTGCCCATTATGCATCACATGATAGCATTTCCTGGCAAATTAAATAAGTTTCATATTTTAAACTTTTAACAAGGCCTTCATTTATAGGGAAAAATACCTTGTTTGTTCCATCCAGGGATAATCTGATACAATTTGCTTTGTCTGCTCATATAATAAACTTGCTTACTGATGCTTGACGGCCTGAGATTTAATATTTATAGAGTTTGTGTTCATGCAGGGCAACCTAACAAATAAATAACACTTTTTGCTTTCTTCTACATCATTTCCCCTAACCAATCAGAATAAACGTATAATTTTAATATAAGAAGCTTTGTAAGGAATGCTGCAAGTAGCTTTTGAAATGATCACACAATGGAAAAAGGTGCAGCTGCTTTAACCATTTAAAAACAGGTACACACCTCTTGTTCAGCATTGTACAGATTTGCATTGGTCTAGATGTTATTCCAGAAAGCCGTACTTTAATCATTTGCCACCTACAAATTTAAAACCATTTTTTTTAAAAAAAGTATTCCCAGATTACAAATACCTGGTGAATGGAGCTTGGTGGTTGCTACTACCAGTCTCTTGGGAGATGAGATGGTAGGCCTGCTGCTTTCCTGATCTTTCTGTCCTTCCTTTTTTGGCCCTGTAAGAAAAAGATATATGTATATGACTGAAAATGAAACATACAAGAATAACAGAATAGGAAGGATCCTTGGAGGACTTTTAGTCCAGATAGGAAACCCTATACTATGTCAGACAAATGGTTGTCCAATCTCTTCTTAAACACTTCCAATGTTGGAGTACCCAAAATTTCTGAAAGCAAGTTGCTCCCCTGAATAAGTGTTCTGTCAGGAAATTCCTCCTTAGTTCTAGGTTGGTTCTCTCCTTGATTAATTTCCATCCATTGCTTCTTGTCCTGCCTTCGGATGCTTTAGAGCAGGGGTGTCCAACCTTGGCAACTTTAAGACTTGTGGACTTCAATTCCCAGAATTCCTCAGCCAGCAAAGCTGGCTGAGGAAATCTGGGAGTTGAAGTCCACAAGTCTTAAAGTTGCCAAGGTTGGACACCCCTGCTTTAGAGAGTGGGTTGATCATGGCAGCCCCCTAGATTTTGGAACACTGCTAATATGTCACCCCAGTCCTTCTTTTAATTAGACTAGACATACCCAGTTCCTGCAACTGTTCTTCATAAGTTTTAGCCTCCAGTCCCCTAATTATCTTTGTTGCTCCTCTCTGTACTCTTTCTAGAGTCTCAACATCTTTTTTATGTCATGGCAATCAAAACTGGATGCAGTATTCCAAGTGTGGAAAAGTGGTATAAAATTTCATGTGAATAACTTCACAGTTAGAGGTAGACACTCTAGGAATTTGACTTCACATCCCATAGGTAAGTACATTAAATGGGTGAAGAATATTCTGTCTTCAGAAATACCATGCTGCACATTTCTAGGCACTCATAATACTTCATAATGCGGTAAAGTTAAATAATAACACAAATCATAATGTATAATATTCATATTCAATCCACATATGTATGGAAAACCTATACACACATTTCAATTACAAAGATACATATACATATCCTAGCACTTCCCCATAACCAGGGGTGGGATTCTACCGGTTCGCACCTATTTGCTAGAACCAGTTGTTAACATTCTAAGCAGTTCAGAGAACCAGTTGTTAGAAGAAATTACTGGCCTAATCCTATAAGGAAGGAAGGAAGGAAACATTCTGGTGTTGCTTACAGAAACTGCCTCTCTGTTAACCCTTATTACATTCTTGGCAGGACTAGACTTCCTGTCTCTGGAACTTCTCTGGAGGTTTTTCCCCCCCTCCTTTGCTGATACTTTGCTTGTGTGGAGTGACCAATCAAAGTTACAGTGGCACTGAAAAAAAGTGAGTTATAACCATTTTTCATACTTACGACTATTGCAGCTTCCCCACAGCCACGAAAGGCCAGGCGAGGAGATGCGTGCCTCGATGTGAGTGATGTTGAGTTGGCTGCGCCCAGCCAGTCACATTACCACCAAGCCATGCCCACCAACTAAGCCCCGCCCAAAGAACTGGTTGTTAAAAAAATTGAATCCCACCCCTGCCCATAGCTCACTTCCTCAGTTGCACCATCAGTTGATTGAGATTTCCCCTGGACAGAATAAAGTTTAGCTTTCTTTCTTATTGCTGAGTCACTGAATAAAGCTTATTTCAAGAGCCTCTTTGATCATTAGGAGAAAGAAAGAGTATTGGAACAGGATTGGGAAATGAGTCAAAATACACAGAAGACTTTAGGTAGGTTGGTTTGTGAACAAAGTAATTGGGATCACACAGGCCAGATTTCCCTTATGTGTTTGAAATCAATTTGTTACTCAAAAAAACCACAAGTCTATTTTTTTTTACTATTTTAGAATTGAGAATGGAAGAAAAGTTGTTTGATAACATTTACTGCCCTATAAAGCACTGCTGGTATTATAAATTATTAAACCACAATTTGAACGAAACACAGATGCTTTTAAAGAAACAGAGTAAGATTTCTGTTTAGAATCTCACTGGTGTACTAAATAAGAAGCTAGACTGGCACCAGAAGAGACTCAGCTCTAGTCCATTCTCAGCCATGACTAAATAGCAACGTGAAGCAATATGCTGACTCTGTAAACCACTTAGAGAGGGCTATAAAGCACTGTGAAGTGGTATATAAATCTGAGTGCACCCAGATTTATATACCACTTCACAGTGCTTTATAGCCCTCTCTAAATGGTTTACAGAGTCAGCATATTGCCCCCAACAATCTGGGTCCTCATTTTACCCACCTCGGAAGGATGGAAGGCTGAATCAACCTTGAGCCTGATGAGATTTGAACTGCCAAATTGCAGGCAGCCGGCAGTCAGCAGAAGTAGCCTGCAGTACTGCACTCTAACCACTGCGCCACTGTGGCTCATGACTAAAGATGACTTTGGGTCAGTCCTTTCTCGTTTAATACAACCTACCGCAGAGTTGTTTTGTGTGAAAACAAGGAACAGGAGATATACGGCTTACTATTGTAAGTTGAAGACTACCTGTATACTAAAACTTTTATTTCTAATACTTTGCAGTTCGGGCACCAAGAACATGACTAAAAACTAAGAATATTTTTGTTCTATTTTTCTGTATTAGGAGGATTAAACCCTTTATTAACATTTCTTCATAAAGTCTGGAAAATTATTTAAAGACGTAAAGGGGAACTTCTAGTATGCATGTCAAAAATAGAGCTTTGGATAAGTGGAATAAAAAAGGATCCACCAGGTTAAATTCTTAAAGTCCATTAGAGTCAGTAAGATTTTAATAAACTAACTGTGAAGAACTGCAGAGTAAGGAAGTACAAAGAGATTGTTCCGTCTGGAATGCATAGAAAACCTACAGAATTATTTATAATCCATTTGAATGTAAAAGAAAATGCTCAGCCAAGTGGCACATTGTTAACTGACTAAATTGGTTGAAAGTGCACTTAAAGTAGCTTGTAGGTTAGCTGCTTTACTGTATATTGCTCTGTGGAATTAAAAAAAAGTGAGAAACACAGTACCAGCAAATTTCTAAACTGCATTAATTTGGAACTAAAAAAACATCACATGCATGGATTCCCATGCAATCTTTTTGCTTTCCAGTCTTTTTAAATTTTATGATGTATTTGAGAAAATTTATTTTTCTGTGCTTTATACTTTGAAACTATCAGTTTCCCCAAATTTCATTTATTTTCTTTCAGAAAAAAACCTGAAAATCCACCAATCCACCCTAATAGGGCCAAACCTGTGGGATCAGAGCCAGATGCCTCAGGTTCTAGTTCTCCTTCACTCCTGGCTATTTATTCCATGACCTTGGGTGAATCATTATCCCAAGCTCAATCCTACTCACAGGATGACTACTATGAGGGGAAAATGAGAATACAATGAGAAATAAGATGAGGAAGGAATATTGTGTGGTGTTGATGCCTTGAGTTATTGGAAGGAAGGAAGGAAGGAAGGAAGGAAGGAAGGAAGGAAGGAAGGA